TGTGTGTGTGTGTGTGTGTGTGTGTGTGTGTGTGTGTGTATTCAAATCTAGACTCCATACATGACAGAAAATGTGGTGTTTGTTTTTCTGAGTCTGGCTTATTCTGCTTAGCATTCTGAGGTACCTTCTCAAGTTACAGTGCTGTTTGGTAGCAATGCTCAAATCCCCAACCAATGGTCTGTATGCAGACCACCAGTGACTGGGGTCCAGTCAGGCCATTGGCCACAGGTAACTTAAAAGAGATGGGTCCATCTGTATCCATGCCAGTAGGGTGTCATGGTGGGAACAGCACTAAAAGGAATAAGGAGAAGGTAGGAAAGGCCATTGCCCAGTAGGGTACATAGTGGGAGGGGATCGAGGCCATTTTGCTCTCCAGTGTTCCCCAGCTTCCTATGCATACCTCCTGGCTCAGAAACTTTCTCTAACCTCAGAGGTTAGCACCAAGACTAGATGTAAGCCCAGCATACAGCTGTGCCTGGCCAAGGAGGATGGGCAGGATTAGGGGTAGACAGGACTCAGGGGCCTGCAAAAGAAAGCTGAGTGCCTCTTGATTCGGGAGTCCTCCCAGAGTGGACACTGGGGACTTGTTTCTCTCCCTCTTCTGTGTGCTCCTCTCTTTTCCCCCAAGCATCTTGCCTCTGTTTCTATGTGTTTGGTTCAGTCCTCCTGAGGCTGGGGCAGTGTGGTCTGAAGTCTTCAGTGAGTATCTCCCTTGGGGGTCAAGGAGAGGGTCATACAGTAATTTCCTGGCCAACACCAAGGTCACCTTCTCTGGGCAGTGGTAGAGTCCTCTGAGGGAAGTGGGAAGTCTGGGCTAACTGGACAGATTTTTTTGCTATTCAGGAAGTGTATTTTCCTTCTGAGGCAGTGCCATGGAATATAAGAGGAAGGATATAGTCCCAGGACCCGGAAACTGTCTTGCTCTGACCCTGTCTGTCTTACTTGGAAAGGAGCAGTTGGTCCAATGGAGCCTCAGGTCAGGGTGCATCTAAGAGAACCCTTGGTTTGGCCTAACTAATGTGGTCACTCCTCTCTAGCTGTCCTGGATGGGGTCCTACAGTCTTGCTGGGCCCATGCAGAAGTAGAGGCACCTAGTCCCGAGAGCCACCTACCTAGCCAGAGGGTAATACCATGCAGAAGTCACCTGTGTTCTCTCCTCTGTTGTTACTTTATGGAGGCTCACTTTGGACTCGTGGCCTCCCCAGGGCCCAGAGGCAGAATCTACATTGGAAGCAGCTGTGACCATTGTGGTTTTAACCAAGCACCACGTGAACCACTGTGCCTCATACCTTCCCGGAGATGGGCACCTCTCTCTACTCTGCACAGAGAAGGCAGATGCTTTGAGTCAACATGACCCGGGGGAGTAGAGTGCACCCAAGTCCTAGTGGGTTCTCTGCTGTCTCAGGTGACACCTGCCCTCAGTTACTGGATCTATAAAATGGCCTGTGAAATTCCACTTATCTGCTGGATTTCTTATGGAGCATAAGAAAGATGGATACATGAAGACTTTTCCTTGTTTAAACCCAGTTCTGGCTTCATAAATGGGGACTATTGCTGTTATAAGAAGTTCTAACAACACCTCTCACCTCCTGCATGTCCCCGGCAGGACCACTTAACCCTCCTGGTCACACCCCCTTTCCTCTGGTATGTCGAGTTATAGCATTAGTGGAGGGGCACAGGACTTTGCTTTCCAGGCACAGAAACCCCCAGCCAACCTGGCAGGCTGGCACAGGGCTTGATGTAGCTCCCCGTTTCTGTGGCTCCTCCCCCAGTCCTGCCTCCCACACGTGGTAATTAAGCTCACAACATCAAGTATAAGCAAATAATAACAAGGGCATTATCTCCTGTTAGTTTGTGTTTTTCTGTGCCTATCATAAAGCAATTAAAATAATGAATGCCTTGAAAAACAATAGGTAAGAGGGGTGGAGAAATAGCATGCTATGCGCTGTATACCTCTTATGCTGTGAATTATAGATGCATTAAAACCACGGTGGCTGCAGGGAACTCCTGCCTCTGGGCCTTTTCCATGCTGAAAAATGTCTGTCCTTTGAGACAGCAGGCTCAAACAGCAGGAACTAGGCCCTCCAGGTGGCCAGAGCCCGGTTAGCTGGTGTTATGTGTAGCTCAGTTGGTAGTATGCTTGCCTAGCAAGCCCAAAGTCCTGGGTTTGATTTCTAGTAGGGTGTAAACTGGAAGTGGTAGTTGTATGCTTATAATTTCAGCACTCCAGAGGCAGAGGCAGGAGTGCTCAGAAGTTCAAGGTCATTCTTGTCTACATACCTAGTTTGAGGCACTTGAAGGTACTGGAGACCGTGTCTCAAAAACAATGAAACAGAAACAAACCCAAGAACGTTGGTCTGAAAGCATGTTTTCCTCAGCCCTCACCATTTTTTGGCCAGTTCCAGGAAAGTGCTGGAGTTAAGGTCTGTGATCTATTTTGGATGGGGAAGGCCTGTGCCTAAGTTGACCTCACATATGATCATTAGATAAAAACTACAGCTTCTGGAGTGGATCTGGCACCCTGAGTTAGCTGAATGTACCTCGTGCTTTTTGATTTCGGCACTAGCTCAAGGCTGAGAACCACTGCATTTAGAGTCAATGTCAGATGTAAGGTTGGGGTAGGCATTTTGGGACTCAGTCTGTGTTATGTGCCATTAGACACTGTTTAGTTCTGGGGAGCAGGCAATATTACCCCCATCTCACAGGGCAGTCCCTGAAGTAGTGGGAGGGCTAGATTTCTGTTTTGAATATGCACCTTGGTTACCATGGCTGCCAAGGATGACATGCTCCCTATCCTCCTGGAGACCCATCCTTTGAGTTTCAGCACCAGGACCAGAGCTAGCTGGCCAATGAGACTAACCTAGTATGTTTAAGAGGCAGATGTCACACAAATCAGCAGGTGGCCCAAGGTCTCCCAGTCCCAGGCTCCTACTGGGTTTGTTCCAGCTCCTGTAGTTTAAAGTGCTGGGGAGTTAAATACCATAGGCATCCAGTCCTACAGCCCAGCTTCTCAATCATACTCTACCTGAGCCAGGGTCAGCCAGCAGGAGAAGAGCAGACATCAGACACCTTTCCAAACCTACTCTCCCAGTATCCCTGCTTCCCTGGTCTCACTGGGCCCACCCTGCTCCTTGCAGGAGGTTTCCACCTCTGATTTGGTTCCCCTTCTGCAGTCCCACTTTGGACCAAAGCACAATGATCCCCAGTGTTTTTCCTCTTTGGAAATTAATACCAAGATTATAAGTGATGAGTATAATTTACTGATGTCTTTTTCCATTTCCATCTGCACTAATGATCTCAGTGGGTGTTTGAGTATGGGTCTAGTTAAATTTGATTTAGATGAATGATGAGTCTTTAGTATATGTATAAGCCATGCATTTTGGATATATTTATAAAGATATTTGTTTACCTAAAATTCAAATTTGGCTGAGCATCCTATATTTTATCTGGTATCCCAAACCCAGGCTCTGGAGGTGACAATGAACAGATACTCAGAATCCTTTGTAATCATTCATTCAAAATTTTGATTGCTTTTGTTGTTGTCTGTTAAGACTCTGTGGTCCAGGCTGGCTTTAAACTTGTGGGCGAAGCTCTTGCCTCCACCTCCTGAGATTATAGGTGTGTTTATTGTACTAGCTTTGTGCTTTAGACTGTGTTAGGTGTCAGGACTGACAGCAGTGTTGGATTGGGTTGAGAAATGAAATAAGTAAGTGAATTATAGAGTATGTTAGAGGGTTTAAGTGCTATGGAAAACAGTAAAGCAAAACAGTTGGCATGGAGGAAAAGAGCTGGCATTTTCAGAGGGTAGTGCGAAAGACTTTATTGGGAAGTTGAGAGAGCATGGGTGAAAACTTCAGGAGACAGAGGCAGAAACAAGCCTTGGTCAGCGAAGGATGGGAGCATCCTAGGCTCAGGGCACATTGTGTGTAAAGGTGTATCATTTACAGCTTCATGTGGGGTTTGGATAGCTGAAACTTCCTTTCTTCAAGCATATTTCAAATTCTGAAGGTGGGATTTATTTTCTCTTGTAACTCAAAGATCTGGGCTTTGGGCACATCTGGATCCAGGCATTCAGATGATGACATTAGTATCCCATCACATCCTTCCTCCCTATTGTCTTCCTTTTCAGGAAAGGATCACTTTCCCTAGCTCTTTCAGCGGAGGTACCACACTTGGGCCTCATTGGCTTGGCAGAGTCGTCTGATTATCCCTGGCCCAAATGGGTTTGGCCAGGGGATAGAATGCCTGATCCATCAGTCTGTATTGCTAGAACTGTTGTGGGTTCTTCATGAGTCCCTTTTGAATGGCATGGAGGAAAAAAGATGGAAAATTAGTAAAGGGAAGTTGGGTTGGCACTATGAAGGCATAATGACTTGTGCCAAGATAGTTTTGTGCTGACTGCGCCCCCTCTTAACTACTATGTGGCTAGAAACAGGTTTGTGCCTTTGCCTTTAAAGTGGTCAGAGAATAATTTCAGCATTCTTTCTATTCAGAGTATTCTAAAGGGACATTTAAAAAAGGATTCTTTGTGTGCCATAGCATGCCTGTGGAGGTCAGAGGACCACCTTGGGTCCTGTCTGTCCACCTTGTTTGAGACAAGATGCCCCTTTTGCTTGTCTCTATTGTGTATGTTGCCACGCTGGTTGACCCATGAGTTTGTGGAGGTCCTCCTGTCTCCGCCTTCCATCTCTCTGCAAGGGTGTTGAAGTTACAGATGTACTCTACTGTGCCCCCCCTTTAACATAGATTTGAGGGGTTTACGCTCAGGTCCCCACAGCTGCATGGAAAGTGCTTTACCCACTAAGCAACCTCTACAGCTTGATTTAAAAAAACTAAATTAAAGAAAATATAACCCATAACCATCTCTCCTCCCCCACTTCTATCTTTAAGTCACATTCCCTCACCGGGAACCCCTTTTGGGTTCTGATTCTTTATGGGTGGGCATCTTATTTAAATCCAGTTCTCTCCAATGTCTCAACTCTGATTCTCTCTGTTGCCAGGAGGCCCAGAAGATAAATAATGGCTCCAGCCAGGCAGATGGTACTCTCAAGCCAGTGGACGAAAAAGAGGAGGTGGTGGCAGCCGAGGTCGGCTGGATGACGTCCGTGAAGGACTGGGCAGGGGTGATGATATCCGCCCAGACACTGACTGGCAGAGTCCTGGTGAGTCCCTCGTCCCTCCCATGTGAGGTGGTGTCTTGCATCTGGGAAGGGGGTTTGCTTGGGGGAGATGATGATGCTCTGAATTTTCTTGAGGCCAAGTAGGATGAGTGGCCAGTGCTCCCCTGAGCTCGTGGATCAGCATGGCACTCTACACAGACCCCAGCTTGTAGTTTGGCACTGTCTCTAGAGAGTGAGCCATCATCGTGCATTCACAACCTGCTTGGGGGGGTGCACTGAACTGCCTCTGTCAGTAAAACAGATGTACACATGCGTGGATGAAAACAAGCACACTATACCTGTACTATCTCAGAATAAACGATGGGGCATAGCAGCATAAACCAGAAATGTGTCCAGAGTCTGTTAATGCAGGATTAGGAGTCTTTCTATCTTCTCCCCCACTCCTTCTGAGAGAGGGAGAGAGAGAAAGAGAGAGAGAGAGAGAGAGAGAGAGAGAGAGAGAGAGAGAGAGAGAGAGAGAGAGAACAAGTTGCTGCTGTCCTCTAGTGGCCTGGCAGAACCTGCTTGGGTGCAGCATCCTAGCCTGCACAATGTGAAGTAGCTCCTGCAGTGCTCATATGGAGACTATGCTGCTCCTGTATGTGTGCATGCATGTGTATGCATGTGTGTGTGCATGCGTGTGTGTGCGCGTGCACACTATAGTGTATATGTGGTGAGTGTATTATAGTGTGTGTGTTATGTATGTATTTGTTGTACTGTGTATGTTTAGTCTGTGTGCTACAGTGTATGTGTAAGTGTGTGTGTGTTATAGTGTGTATGTGTAGTCTGTGTGTTACAGTGTGTGTATGTTATAGTGTGTATGTGTAGTATAGTTTGTATGTGTAGTGTGTATGTTATAGTATATATGTGTTATAGTGTATGCATGTGTGTTATGGTGTGTATATGTTATAGTGTATGTGTGGTTTGTGTGTCTGTGTTATAGTGCATATATGTTACAATGTATATGTTTGGTGTGTGTTTGTTGTATGTGTGGTATATTGTATATGTTTGGTGTGTGTGTGTGTGTGTATGTGTTTGGGAGAGTGTGTATGTGGTGTGTGTGTGTGTGTGTGTGTGTGTGTGTGTCTGTGTGTCTGTGTGTCTGTGTGTGTCTGCATGCTGTACTCTTGCATTCTCAGGTGCCCTGTTTCTGGGCCTGTCACCAAGGCCTTCCACAGTCAGGGCTTGCTCATGCTGATCCCTTCCCAGGCACACCCTGCCTCTCTCCTCTGCTAACGGAGAGCTGGGCTTCACCAGTTGGCCTCATGAGCCACTGGTTTAGGGTAAGAATTGTGAGTGGCAGGATTGTAATGGCTACACCACTTTTCTGGGGCCAGAAGGCTGTCGGAGTTATCAGTGTTTCAGTGCAAAAAATAGTGCAGAACGGGGCAGACGAAGACCGTTGCCGACTCCTGACAGGCCTGTGACCCACCCTAGGTGTCTCCTTCATTATTGCAGCCCCAGCTGGTGGCTTTCTTGGGTCTGCTCTGGATCAGGAGTTGCCTGATGATGTGTTTAGGTGACTTCTCCCTGTGACTCTGGCATATGTTTTGTGCAGGTCACCCTTTTTGGCTTGAAGTGGGGGTTCAATCAAGAGTTCAATCAAGAGTCATTTGTCTGGTAGGCAGAATAAGCAGGGATCAAAGATCAAGCTGGGACTTTACCCCAGAAACTGCTTCTTTGGTGAGGAAGTGAATGCCAGTGAAGAAGGTGATGAGTCTCCCTTATCCAAATCCTTACTCAGTAGTGTTTGGGAGGGATGCCTCCCACATTGCTAGAGGAAGTGAGAAGGACACTGCATGCCCTGCTTGAGGAACTCATGGGACCAGCCAAATAGCCTGGTAGGAGAACAGGACTCTGGGATGTGAGGGACCTTCTGTGAGCTCAGGCCGTAAGGTCATGCTGGTGACAGCTGAAGACTAACTTCAAAAGAGGGGCATGGAGGTGGCCCTTTGGAGGACAGAGAACTAGCAAGGTCAGTTGCTATAAGGGGGAAGACAAGGGGGCTGTTGGGTCCTCTGTGAACCAGGAGATGGTCTGATGAGGACTTGCAGGTGGTTTGCTGCTGGATGTGGGGACCACTGTCATCTATTTCCTCGTCTCATTCTCTAAGTAAGTTTTCTGTTGCTCTTTCACACAGGGATATGAAGAGATGTTACCCTGGAGACAAGTGAGGTTGAGTTCTGGGTCTGGATATGCTTGTGTGTAAGAGTGAAGCCATGCCTTCCACACATATGGTGGTGGTTCTGTGTGGTCATGAGAATGAGCTACAATAGCCATACTTTCAACTTTTAATGAGTGAGTTTAAGTATACAGCAGGCTACAGTAAAGGGGAAAACAGCACGCAATGGATAGATATTAAAATGCCATCAGACTGGTACATAAAGCACCCAGCAGAAATTGTCAGCTGGAATTCCCGGATGGGTTTTTCTTTTCCATGGCTGAACTTCCAGTTTCTCTTTCCCATGGCAGGCACTTTAATATCATGGGGCAAGTGGCAGTCACATCTATTGGAAGTGGTTTAACTTCTAGATGTTCTCAAAAATACAATGCTTTTATGCTTGGCCTATTTTACCTTCCCTGTAACAGAGTTTGGTGTGTGTGGGGGGGCAGCCCATCACAGAGGAGGGGCCTTGGAGGACACTTTGAGACACACATGCTTGGGTCTGAAATGGGGTAGGGACAGCCCCATTCCAGAGACTGCCTCTCAGGGAGCTCATACAGCACCTGATAATTTACCAGTAGACTGTACATCCTGGTGGCCATGGCAGACATAGAGGAGTGGGGCTTGGTATGAATGTTATAGTTGCTCCTGTCTGAGGCCATTACAGTCAGCACCAAAATGTGCTTCCTCAGAACTAGCTGAGGGTTCCCAAGCACCAGCTCTGGGCCAAAGGTTGTATCTGATAAGGCGGGAAATAAACATGAACACTGATCAGTGGTAGAGTTCTTACTTAGCATGCATCAGACCCTGGCTTCAATGACAAGTAACCCAAACCAGAAAAAGGCTAAATGTGGTGGTGCCTTCCAGCCCTTGGGAGGCTGAGGCAGGAGGATCATGAGTTCAAGGAAAGCCTGTGTTACATGGCAATATGCTGTTTTAGAAACAAACACAATCTGACCAGAGGGAGGAAGGGACTTCTTGGTGGGTGAGCTAGAAAGAGAAGCTACGATGGAAAACATTTGATTTCTAACTAGACACCCACTGTTCAGTTTCCCTTTTCCAAAGTGGATTAGCATCTTAAAAGCCAAAGGGAGGAAATAATGTCATCAAGGAAAGCAAGCTGTGGGAGCAGAACACAGTGCATTATGGGACTCTGGACGGTTGTCCAATAAGGCCGAAGGCCAAGAACACCAAGGCATTGGGCTCAAAGAAGGCCTGGAGGGTTGGCTGGAGACAGCTTGTCTGGCCTGAAAATACCAAGGTAATGAATGTGGGCAAAGTTTGTAGGACAAGGATGTTTTGAGAGTGGGGTGCTTAGGTTGGCCATCAGATAGCCACCTGGGAGGGGGTAGCTGCTCAGAAGGGGAAACTGGAGCTAGGAGATCCTGAGACAACTTAGTGAGCTGCTAACCCCATGATAGCACAAGAGGGAAAGGCCTGAAGTGTAAACAGGTCAAAAGGTCAGGGGGTGGATATGAGTGATATTATACAATTGGGGTACATAGGGCCAAGTACTCCCCCAGACTACTTCAATACCCCTCATGTACCATCACCAATATTATGGAGAGTATCTTGTGAGCCCTACAGGCACCATGCCATCCCGGTTCCTTGCCATCGTTTGGAAAGGCCTGGCCCCGGCTGTTGTATTTGCTCACATAGCTCTTGGGTTGCAGTGTTCTAGTTTCATTCCTGTTGCTATGATAAAACATCCTGACATAAAGCAACTCAGGGGGGGAAAGGGTTTATTTTAGCTCGTAATTTTTTCCCCTCAGTCCACCATGTGGGAAAGTCAAGGTGACAGGAACTTGAGGAAACTAGTCACATTCACAGGCAACACCAGAGGGGCAATGAACATATCATGCCCACTTGTTTGCTTCTTTGTAGTCAGCTCAGTTTTCCTTTTAGACATTTCAGGAACCCCTGTTTAGGGAATGGTGCTGCCCACAGTGGGCAGGTCTTCCCATATCATTTAATTCAATGAAGACAATCCCCCATAGACATGTCCACAGGCCAACCCAGGATAGACAGTCCCTCAGTGAGACTCTTCCCAGGTGATTCAATGTTGTGTCAAGTTGACAGTTAGAGCTAGCCATCACACAGGGGCTCATCACAAGAAAGTAGGCTTTTCTTACCGAAGAATCCATCTCTCCTTCATCACTGAGAAAAATCAAGCCCCAAGGAGGGATTTTGCTTGGAATATAGAAAGCAAAGCAGCTGTTAGTGGAAAAGCCAGCTGGGTAGCGACATGGACTTGAGACATTCCGCGTAGTGTTCCTCCTGGATTATGACTGCCCAGATAAGGACAATGCCTTTTCTAAGTCACTACCAGATGTTACTCTGGGTGTGACAATTAACATATTGTTTTCGAGCGAACAAAGTCTGAGGCCCCCAGTCCTGACTCCCTTGATGCTCACAGGTAGAAGCAGGTCCATCTCCAGCCTTTTTGCCTAGGGCTGCCCAAGGTGTCACAACTGCTCTCTGGTCTCCTTGGAGAAAGTCCTGCCAGGGTGCTGGATGCCCATGAAGGGAGGGATCCCTATAGCACAGAGCAGTGTCTCAGAGCTCTTTGAGGAGAAGGCAGAGCCTGGCTCTGCACAAAACATGGGTTTTACATTGAAGCAGCCGCACCCAGGACAAAGCTGCCATGCCTGTTCTGAGCTCAAAGCTGTGTTTGTCTTGAGCTATCCAGATGTTTATCCCTGTGACAGTGGGACCAAACCAATACTAGACACCAGCTGTTGAGTTTCTTTTTTCAATTTTTAATCTGTTTTCCTTGATGGATGCTCAGGAGCCTGGCCTCCACATCTGAGCCCCCAATTTCACCTGTCCGGTTGTTACA